CCCCTCTTTGTCCTTCATCCTCATGGGGACCTTTGATCCATGGTCTGGTGACCCTGCGGGACAGGGCACCTGCAGGCCGCCCCTCCCCTGCTCCACCCACTCCGTCCTCTACTGGGTGAGCCGTCCCCAGCCTCCATGGGTCCCCTCCCTTGGCCCAGCCCCGTTGAGGCCACCTCCGTGCTGCCTGGTGCCTGTCCCGTCTTAGGGTTGTGGACTAAGCCAGCGGCAGCAGGCGGCCCTCAGATCCTCCCCACTTCACATGTGGGGCTTCGGCCTCTCCTCACAGGTGTTGCCTTTGCGTGGCCCACAGTGCCCTGTTCGTGCCCACTATGACCCAATTTCTAAGGCGACTTTTTTTTTTGTACCGGGGATTGAACTCAGGTCCTTGTGCTTTCGAGGCAGGCGGCAGAACTACTGAGCTAAATCCCCGGCCCCACGACCCAGTTTCTAAATAAAATCCATTCCATACAGGATGGTGCTGAGTCTCCGAGGACGCTCCCTCATTTGCATAGCGAGCAGCGCATCTGACCACCATTCACACCCGTTCCCATCCCACAGCACAGGGCTCTTTCTTCAGCCTTGCCCCTGACCTCTCTTTCGCTCACACCCCACACCCTTTGCACTAGCTTTTTGTTTGTTTTGTAGTCCAGGCCGGCCTCCCACTCATGGCGACCCTCCTGCCTCGGCCTCCCAGGGGGCCGCCCGGCTGCACCAGCAATCTCATTGGTTGTACTTTCAAAATTCGTCCAGGGCCTTAGCGCTGCCTGAGCCCTGGCTTCGCCGCAGGGTTTTTGTCACTAACAGGACATTCTGCTTCCTGATTATCCATCTCCTCCACGGGAATGTGAGCACCACAAGGGCAGAGACCTTGGTCTGTTTTAGGGCATCTCACTTGGCACACGGTACAGTTCCGGTGTACGAATAAACGGGACGAGCCGAGTTTAAAGAATTCCAGATGGGATCAACAATGTTGCACCGGTAGCCAGGAGGGGGCGCCAAAGAGACATCCAGGGCGGATGAAAGGGTGGGGGGAGGGAGGCGGGGACCAGGGTGTGGCCGCAACCACAGCGGGGTGGACCCTGAGGCCTGGGCTAGGGGACAGCCAGACCCTGGTTCCAAGTGAAACCCGAGAGGCCTCAGTTAAAATCCCAGCCAAGCTATGCTGCGGTGAGCAGGCGCCTTCACTCCTCTGGGCCTTGGCTTCCTCCTGGGAGACTGGTTATTGGGGATGACCCGCTTTGTAAGAGGTAAATTGAGGCACACAGAGGGGGACGCTTTCCAAAGTCCACAGGGCACTGCAGCCCCGGGAGGGAAAATTAGAAAGCATTTTAATGGCGTAACACCTATGTGTTCTGAGGTTGTGTGTTCTGTAAATTAACAGAAACAACAAGAGTGAGAAATAAAATTAGCAAGTTTAGGGAAAAATCTAGAAGAAATGTATCGTCATAAAAATGAACGGCCATCTGGGCTGTTAGATTTCTATATTTTCCAAATTTCTCCCATGGGCTGAATATTTGCATTTCCTCTTAACTTTTTAATCTTATTTATTTTTCTTTGTTTTGAGACAGGGTCTGGGTGTGTATCATCTGGATGATATATATACATCAGGCCCGCCATGGACTCGTGGTGACCTGCCTGACTCAGCCTCCCAGGAGCTAGGCTTATAGGCATACGCCACCCACACCCAGCATTCTTTTGGGTTGTGTGAGCTACCACAACATTCTCCAGCTGGCACTGCTCCTGCTACCCAGGCAGGTGCCAAGTGTCCCTCATATAACTCGGTCAGACTTCTGTGGTACTAGGACCCCAAGTTGGGGACTTAGTGCTCTGACCTGTGCCTCGGGCAACACCAGCCCCTGAGCATACTGGGAGAAGGGCTTCTGGGGTCCTATCCCCTTTTCTCTCTCTTTTCTTATTTTGTGTTACTAGGAATTAAACCTAGGGTCTTCACCTTGAGCTACATTCCCAACCCTTTAAAAAACTTTTTTGTGGGCCAGGGATTTGGTTCAGTGGCTCCCCCACCTGCCTCGCAGGCACAAGTGTCCAAGTTCGATACCTGGTACCAAAAAACAACAAAAAAAGCTTTTTTGGGGGGACCTTGGTCTCGCTAAATTGCAAACTACCCAGGCTAGGCTCAAACATATGATCCTCCTGCCTCAGCCTCCCAGAGTGCTGGGGTTACAGGTGTGCGCCACCATGGCCATTCTTAGCAGTCGTAGGGAGGCATGCCCCGTCCCAACCTCACCTACCAACCCCTTCCCTGAAGTCCCCTCCTGCCCTGCAGGCGCTGACCCGTGGCTGCTGTCTCTGCCTCTGTGCTCAGGCTGTGGCAGTCCCAGGCCTGGGGGCTCACCAGAGGGAACTGTGTACCCGAGTGGACGGTGCTGGTCCACAGTATCTCAGGGGGCTGTTTGCACACAGCCACCAGCACCCCCTGCCCTGCCCTCCTGGCAGTTTACCCCCAAGCCCGGGGAGATGGGTCCTGGACAGACTCCAGCTCCTGCTGTGATGAAACAGCGGCATCGGGAGCAGTCTAGCTCCATTTAGTTTTTTTGTTTTGTTTTTTTTGGTACTGGGGATTGAACTCGGGTCCCAAGGCAGGCCACCTAACCACTGAGCTAAATCTCCAGCCCTTCTAGCTCCATTTGGGAAAAATAGTTTACCATTCTGGTTTTTGTGTGTGGCCAGGGATGGAACCCAGGACCCTTCAGGGGCTCCAAGCTCCAGCCCCAGTCCCTCAACTTATACTTCTGAGTCTGCATACTAAGGTCCATTCCTTATTTTTAGTAAAAGACAAGGTGGTGAGTGCCTGTCACCCCAGCACTCTGAGAGGCTGAGGCAGGAGGATCACTAGGTTGAGCCCAGCCCAGACAACTTGGCAAGACCATGTCTCAAAATAAAAAAAGGCTGAGGATGTAGCTGGTTTAGTCCCAGCACTGTTAAAAAAAAAAGGAAAAAGAAGTCTCAGGATGTCTCCCTGAGCCTGCAGAGTAAGGCCTGGCTCTGGGTCATGGCCATTTCCTTCCTGCTGGCTCCAACCAAGCCCTGAATGTGTGGACTGGCTGCTCGGTCCCTGAACAGCACCGGTGCTCCCCTGAGGCTCCATCTGGATCAAAGCCTCAAGCAACCTGCTCCCCACCAAGGCCCAGCTCTGCTGTCTCTCCCAAGAAGCCTCCCCAAACTTGGGAGACCAAGGGCCTCACCCACCTCACAGCTGCCCTGACATTTCTCTGTGGAGGCTCCAGGCTGCACGGAGCACTGCCTGCACCCAACCATGTGACAAGCGGCAGGAACCGGCCCATCTCTGCTTCCGGAGGAAGTCTGACCCAGTCTGACCGGGTGGGCAGACCTGGCGGAGCCTTCCCAGGGGAGCAGCAATCGCCCAGGACCCCCAATGTGCATCTGCCCTGAGGCTGGCGAGCTGTCCCCAGCGTTTCTCCCAGTGAGGATCCTTGTCCTGGGGTTTCTCTGCCCCAGCCCTGGCGCCTCCCCTCGGGCATGCAGGGAGGCCCTGGGACCACTTCTGCAGTGGGGCCAGCCCAGAGAGTCCCCCCAGGTCCTTGGGCCTCACGTTTCTCTCCCCATTCAAGTGGGAATACACAGTTGGGGACGGCATCCTGCTCCCATCCTGCATGCTGGGCTGGGGGAGCCACCGAGACCCCTGGGGAGGGCGCAGGGGCTCCAAGGGCTGGCGGGGCCCCTCACTGAGCACCTCCCCACCCCTCTCTCAGCCCGGTCCCCAGCCCAGGCACTGTTTCTACAAGGTCACCTGAGCCCTGCAGCCCCTGCCCCACGCTGACCACAGCGCCCTGTGGCGCTGAGTCTCAGTTTCCCCCATGGTCAGGCCTACCACAGAGGGCAGAGGACAGGGGAGACCACCCTGCTCATGGGAGCATGGCTTGGCCCTCCTGTGCCCCCCAAAATGCACGTGAAAGGTACCCAGAGGAGGGCTCAGAGGGGCAGGTGCCCAGGGCTCCCCTGGCCAGGTGTCCTTGGGGGCTGCAATAGCTCTCTCTCTGCTTCTCTACCTACCACCTTCCTTTTTGTAAGGTACTGAAGCTCAAACCCAGGGCCTTCACACAGACCCACACTTCTGGCCCTTTTTATTTTTTATTTTTGAGACGGAGTCTTGCTAAGTCGCTAAACTGCCCAGGTAGTATTCAAACCTGGGATCCTCCTGCCTCAGCCTCCGGAAGTGCTGGGACTGCAGATGTGCACTGAGCCTGGCTCTTTTCTGTGTGCGCCCAAAGAGCTCTGGAAACGCCCCTGGGACTTTCAGCCTCAGACACCCCTGCTGCCCGGGCTCACCAAGTGCTGCTCTCCCAGGCCTTCCTGGGGGCCCTGTGTCAACAACAGCTGCCCTGTGTCCTCCCTTTCCCGACATCCACGGAGCCAGGCCCACGAGCCGAGGGCCCCGACCACTGTCGCCAGGACTGATGCGTGACTGATGTGTGAGGGGTGCTCGGAGGACGGCCGTGGCCAGGCCCCGCTCCCAGCAAGGGCAAGGGTCAGGCGAAGCCTGGGGTGGTGCGGGGACACGGCAAGGCCACAGGGCTCCGACTACCCAGGTGCGGGCTCGGGGGCCTGGTCGTGTGCAGGCCCAGGAGGGACGTGGAGCCTCGGGGGTCAGGAGAGGTGGTTACCAGCCAAGGCCGGGCGGCCCCGCATCCCAACACTGGGCTCCAGAGCCCCACGCGGTCACCCTCCTGCCATGGTCTGGAGCCCACAGCCACCGGCCACATCCTTCCACCAAGATGACCAGGCCCTGGCATCAGGAGGGGTGGCGATGGGACCTGCCTGTGCCACGTCCCCACCAGCTCCTACCCCAGGATGATCTGGGCAGACCCAGCCTTCCTACTGACCCGGGCGGGAGCTGGAGGCCTTAGCCTGTCCACTCTTGGTCCTGGACCCTGAGGCCCAGAGGCCGGCTCCAGCCTCTGGCTCTCCCCACCCCGCACCACGGCCCCTGCACCCTTGGCCCCACGGCCAGCGCCTCTCACCAGGCTTCGGGATGAGTCCTTGGAATGGCCTGGAAGAGAAACAGAGGGAGTTGGGGGGAGCCTGGGGACAGGGCAGTGACCCAGGGACAAGCAGAATTGGCCTGGTCTTGCCTGGGGCCCCTAGAAACAAGCAGGCGCCACCCCAGCCCACTGCAGCAGCCTCTGCCCTTCAAGCTGCGTGTAGTGGCATATGCCACTCTGGGAGGCTGAGGCAGGAGGCTCCCAAGTTCAGGCCCAACCTGAACAACTTAGCAAGACCCTGTCTCAAAATAAAACATTTCAAAAAGGGATGGGGATACAGCTCAGTGTGAAGGCCCTGGGTTCAATTCCTAAGCTCCGAGACACAAAACAAAGCCTGCACTTCAGCCAGATGCTTGGGGTGCAGCACAGGGTGCCGCTGGGCAGGCAGAAGGTGCTCACGAAGGCAGAGGGATGGCCAATCTGGGAGGCTCCCTACACCCCGGCCAGCCTGTGGGTCCTCTCCAAGCTCCCAGGGCTACCTGAGAGGCCCCAGACCTGTCAGTTCCAGCCCCATCCTGTTTGCCTTCCCTCTCCCGAGTACCTGGTGACCGTGAACTTGATCTTGTCGGCCACGGCAAGGATCCGCTCCAGGTTCTGGGAGCCGAAAGTGCATGGCTTCCGGAAGGGGATTCCTGGGGGCAGCCCCTCGATGATCACTGAGCCGGGGTTGCTCTTGATCCGCTTGTAGGGCACCTGGACGGGGTACTTGATACCCAAGGCTTCCCCTGGAGGTGAGAGGGACAGTGCTGTCCGTCAGGACCAAGAGGGGTGCAGGCAGGGTTGCCCACGGTGGGCTGAGCTGGGGAGCGCGGTGCAAGGGTTCTGAGTGCAGCATGGGAGCCTGAGCCTGCTGGTGCTGAGCTGCCCGCTGGCCCTGCAGCAGCCCCTCACTCTGGGCTGGCCTGGCCTGAGCCACAGGTGCCACAGGGAGCAAGAAAGTCGAGGGCCCTCGGTGCTCCCGAATAGGCTTTACCTCCATTCTGCAGCCCACACTTCGTGGAGGGCTGTGGTCCCTCTCCCATGTGGCCTGGTGCCGCCCTGAAAGTCCCGAGTACAGTAGGCGCTGCCCAGGCTAACTCAGCCGCCGAGGCCCAGCCGTGACCCACACCCCTCAGATGCCCCCTGGGGGCTGCAAAGAGCAGCGGCCCAGGGCCCAGGCCACCCTTTTCCACACCCAGGCAGCAGGAAGCCCTCAAGTCCCAGGCCCAGGAGTCACAGTGGGACCTTTTGGTGCACTAAGTTGATTTTCACCTCACGGATTCTGGGTGCTGTAGCACTGACCCCATTTCCCTTTCTACTCTGGCTCCTGGGAAACTTAAGAGCCTGATCTGTGCCCCAAGTGTAGCAGGCACAGAATTTCGGAGTCAGAAATTGAGATTGAATTCACATACCGTAAAATTCCCTATCTGAAAGTACACAATCCAGTGGCTTTCAATACACTCATAAGGTCACAGAACTACTACTACTACATCTTATTCCACAGAACTTCATCTCTCCAAAGGGGAGCCCTGCACTCCTCAGCCATCCTGCCTGCCGAACCCCACTAACCTTCCTGCAGCCACTAACGTCCTTTCTGCCCTACAGAGGGGCCTGTTTTTATTCGTCACTATCTTGCAGTACTGAGGGTTGAACCCAGGGGCCGCTCTGCCCCTGATACACACCATTGGCCCTTTTTATTTCATTTTCAGACAAAGTCTCACTAAATTGCCGGGTCTAGGCTTGACCTTGCGATCCTCCTGCCTCAGCCTCCACTGTCCTAGCTCTCCCATAATCTTGGGCCCATTGGAACCATCAGCTCTGCAGCCCCCCACCCTTGTGGTGTCAGTCCACCCCTGGGGCTGGGCACTCTCCTGACACAGCGACACAGCAAGTAACCCAGGTGAAAATCAGTGGGGACTGGGTAAGGAGCAGACACAAGACTCAACGGGGATCACAGAGAAACACGAAGGCTGCAGGAATTCTAGGAAAAGTCCTGGCTCCTTCAAAGGTCCTGGGAGAGTCAGCTCTCCCTCCTAGAGCGTGCAGATGAGACACCCGGTGCTGCTGCAGCCATTCTGCCACGCACTGGGACTCCAGCCTCAGGCAACGCTGACACCGTGGAACAGACAGAAGGAGCATTCCTGAGATGCCAGATCAAGATGATCCTGGAAGCCACCTTGCTTCTGGACTTCTCTTACTGTTGAGTCATGGCCAACTGCACTGTCCACAGACAGCGGATCCATATTACTCCCATCGTGTATGTCCCTTATGTATAATACTGGACCTACGCCACGGAGGACCTGCACCTGGGGCCCTCCCCTTGAATTTGGGCAGGGCTTTGAATGTGATCTTGTTTGTTTTTGCAGGGTTTCACAGTGCAGGGCCTTGCACATGCTAGACAATCTATCTCTGGGCCATCCAGGCCCTTGGCTCTTCTTAGGTCTGACCTCAGGGCCTTTGCACGTCCCAGTCCAACTGGACTGCCCTTCCTCCCTCCCTTCACAATCTACCCCTAAACTCCTTACCGCCTTTCCCTGCCCCCGCTCTAAGGCCAGCTCCCCAGCTATTCCCTCAAGCAGCCTGCACATTTCCTGTGTAGCTGGAGGAACGGCTCCTTCCCTTGTTAGGCTAGGTGCGGCTGTGGACGTCTCAGTGCCCAGCACACAGGAAGTGCTGCCAGTGGCCCTGCTCACCGTATTTCTTATTGAACAGGTCCTGGACCTGCTCCCGCAGAGTGTTGGCTATGTCGATCCTCGAGAGTCTGGCATCGTAATTTTCTGCAAAGTGAAAACAATCACGCTGGAGGCTGCAGCTGAAAGGGCTTCTGGGCCTTTCAAGGAGAGCGGCTGGCTGGCTAATTACGGGGAGCTCCTGTTCTGGCAATTACGGCCCTCGAGTGGCCCTCAGAGCCCTCCAGATGCATGCTGTTGCCCCAACACCAGTGAGCTAAAAATTAACTGCTGACATTTGAAAGCGACCCAACCAGTAAATAAGCAAAGAGCAGGAGAGCAGGCTGCCAGGCAGGCGGGGCCAGGAGGAGAGGGGTCTTTGTTAAGTCATGGGGGGAGGGCTGGGGACCTGGCTCTGTGGGCCAGCACCCCCATTCCATTCCCAGCACCACCAAAAAGCAAACAAACAAAAAAAATGGTCTGGGCGTGGTGGCACAGGCCTGTCATCCCAGTACTCTGGGAGGCTGAGGCAGGAGGATCCCAAGTTCCAGCTCAGCCTGGGCGACTCAGGTACTTAAGATGCTGTCTCAAAGTTAAAAATAAAAAAGGCCAGGGAGGTTGCTCATTGTGAAGGTCCTGAGCACTACACACACACACAAAGAAAAATGAGGGGAAAGTGTGGGCTCTTGGGCTCCTCCTGAGCTGCTCAGACCTGGGAGGGGACAGCCTGGCAGGGTGCAGTGGCTACCGGTCCCCAGGTCCTGCTGTGGTGGGCACCCTCCCCCACCCACTTGGGCTCACAGGGTGGGCAGCGACCTCCCTGAGCCCGGCCTTACCTGGGAAGCCCTGTCTCCTCAGGCTCTCGTCCACAAGGGGGTCCCCGGAATCCCTCTCTGGGGCGGGCGGGGAGAGAAGCCAGGGTGAAGAGGT